ATGTTCTAGAACAAGCAAAACTAATCTGTGGTGAAACAATTAGAAAAGTGGATTTTTTCAGAAAAGCAATTAAGCGGCAAAGAGAAAAATGTTCTATAAATTGATAGGAATGTGGGTTATATGAAGGCATGCTTTTGTCAAAATTCACCATTTATTCACTTAAGATTTATTCATTTCACTATATGTAAATTTAACTACAAAGGAAAACAATTGTTGAACTTAGATTTACTTTTCACAGTGGTTTGGGTTGGCAATTCCAAAACATTGTGTATTCTAGACTTGAGCAAACAGGTAAACATATTACCCTGAGACCTAAAAGTTAGACAGCAGTTAAATGAGACCATCTGTAACTAAATTTTAACAAAAGGAAATAGTATTTTCATGAAACTAATTCAGCTTGTCTCATCATTACTTCAGAATATACAACTTTAGGGAAGTTGAAAAGTATTTAGTTTACATAGTCTAGATTTAAAAATTCTAAAAACAAGCACATATGATGAAGTTCCTATTTAGGTACAGCATTATTTTTTCTTTATTTGACTTTTAATTTTTTGCTGTCTAGATAAAAATTACTAAAACTGTAATTCTTCAAAGTATCTATTTAAAAATATGTATCAGCAAGGATGGTGCATTGCAAAAATTCAGTAACTATAACATTTGCTCTTTTTTCGTACTCAACTTTGACAAAAAATAAAGAAGAACATCTCTGTTAATCACTGTGCAGGTTGATTTTTTTTTTAAATACATTCTAGCATTTACCATATATTAAATATCGGCACTCTTCTGGAGTTCTATTTCTAGTATTAAATTGATTCAATATCCTGTTATATAGAGGAAAGCCATGTTTTTAAAAAGTTAATAAAATTAAATGGCAAGCTTTTCTGAAAAGTAATAAAACACAGCTTTCAAAACTAGGAGATCATAAAGTAATTTCTTATAAAAAGATATCAAAAAACTTATAAAACAACTGGCTGCTAAATAAAAAGGGATTTGTGTATATTTTCTCAAAGTAGGAACATAATTATGTTATGTTAAACACTCCATAATGTGGTGGAAATTTTACTATTTTTTGATAACTGTATCAGAATTTCCTTGAAAAGCAACTATCTCTTTTTTAAAAAAATAAAGTAAATGTAAAATGCAAAGCGGTAAGTAATACAATTTAAGAAAATAAAGTTTCAAAATAGTCTTTATTATATACTTTTTGTTTAAACTTTCAAATAATTCTTAATGCTTCATCAATTTGGATTCTAAATGCCAGACTTTTCTTACTTTTTGATACGAACCCTGTTAAAACAGATGGAAAATTTCTTTAGGCCATGAGTTACAGTAAGTCCATATGTCTCCAGAGATATCCGGCTTTGCTACTTTACCTTTGCTTTTTATATTAAATGTACCAAGAGAATTAGGAACGGTTAATACCTTACCAAAGATTCCTAACGCAACTTCATATGCAGCGTGCAAGCCACTAACCATTGTGAGTGGGGTGGGGGCGGGGTGGTGATCTTTGTTTGGTGACTTGTATATAGGGCTATACAAAGATGAGTAAGACAAGATACTATGACTTCAAGACAGTTACACTCTCCTGGGAAAAAAAGCCAAGTTAAACCTGAACTAGAGATAACAGTAGGAAAATCTAAAGGAAAAAAGTATATTACACAAGTTGTCACGGTGACATGGGAGGATAAAATTTTATTGCATATAACTGGAAGAAATATTAGAAATGTAAGCTTTAGAAATAATACTTTTGAAAACTGTAATTGCACTACACTAATCACAAATCTAGGTATGTAAGACAAAACAAAACAAAAAACTTATCTGTGAAATTGATAGTAAGAGTAAAGAATAGAAATAGAAGCTTATTCAGAAATGTCTTTCTACAGGAAATGTCTGTTTTTAATACATTTGAAATTTATTAGAAAACACAAATCATTTAAAACCTGTACTTTTTTCTGAAATTTAAAGTAAATAATTTACATTAACAATTTACAATCATGATATTCCTACATGAATACGCAAATTTTATCAACCTTAAGAGTGAAGTAATTAACACATGAAAAACTGCCTGCACAAGAAACAGTAAAGCAGCAAGTGCATAACCAAAAAAAAAAATAACTCATTCTATTTTTTTAAATCTATTAAATGCAATCCTAACTGTTAAGAGACAAAATTAGGTTTCATTTTTTTTAAGTAACCAAAATAAATCCATTTTCAATGACCGGAAGTTTCATTAAGATAGTAACTAAAAGTTACCACCAATCTTAGTTAGCTTTATTCTCTTGTCCTAAACAAATTTCAGGGAGAAGACACCCTTCCAACTATGAACCCAGTCTACAAGCCTACATACTAGTTAGAACAGAAAATATAATTAAAAATTAAAAGAATAATCAAACAGACTAATATTTTGAAACAAAATCTGATAAATACGAAATCTTGCTGGGTTCCTAATGACTTATGCAAACAATAAAATTTAGTTTTGGGGGAAGCACTCAGAACCCAAATGTTTAATCTTTGAAATAAATGAAGGTGCTAACAAGATTGTCTAGAGACCGAAATAACAATCCTAACCTTGTAAGCAAAATGGCTCACTACCTATATAATTTGCCTTATACTTAAATAAGGAGAATCTAGTTGTTAATTTTTTTTTAAAAAGGAACTGCCACCATTTAATAGTGGAAAAGTAGCTATAAAAAATGAAATTGCTTCATAGATCATTTTACCCTCAATGCTTCTGAGTAATGGCTACAATACAAAATAAAATTACAGATGTCATTTAGGAGGACCCAAGGATTCTAGCTTCTTAGTTTAAAAAAAAAAAAAAATTTCCCCTTTCTATCATCCACTAAGTAACAAAATGTGTCATATTTAGTTTATATAAGAAAGATAAAATTTGGGATCTAAAAGTTTGGTCTTATTCCTAATTTGATACAGATTTAGGAAGAAAAAAGTCCCACCTACCTCTAAAATCTATCTTTTGAAAATCAAATACGTTAGTCAAGAAATTGCTTTAATTCTACTTTTGTACAGATGTATTAACTAATTAATCTCAAATCTGGGGTTTCTGTTTTCTTACCTAACACAAAGAAAAAATTCATGCACTATACTTCAGCGACATAAAAGCAACTATCCTTTATGGAGTCTTTTACACATCTTCATTAAACATTTATTTTCTATTCAGTGACTCCATTTGCTCTGTAGGAAAAGTTTTTTTTTTAATTCAGCAAAGAATAATCAGTCATTACTTATGCAGTCATTTATTCATCAAACCTTTACTGAATATTAAATGTGCCAGGGACTGTGGAAACAAAAACAAATAAGATGTGGTGCCAACTCTTAAGAAAGCAGGGACACATCCCTAAGTGGGGCCATAAATCCTCCAACAAGGAACACCCATCACAAAGAGACAAACACCTAAAAAGGGCTCATAATTGTAAAACAGAATTTCAATTTGGCCGTTACCATTAAATTGCACTACATAACATAAAAGGATCCCTGGTGGCACAGTGATTAAAGCACTCGGCTGCTAACCAAAAGGTCTGCAGTTTGAACTCACCAGCCCTCTCAGTGGGAAAAAGATGTGGCAGTCTACTTCCATAAAGATTACAGCCTTGGAAACACTATGAGGCAGTTCTACACTGTCCTATATGGTCGTTCGAAGTCGGAATCGACTCAACAGCAATGGGTTTGGTTTTTGGTTTAGATAACATAAAGAAATGTATTTTAATCGGAAATCTCACTGGTGATTTTTAACTAAAGTTAAAAAGTAGATGGCGTAAAGCATTATTATTTTTTTAATTCCACAATATACTGTAAAGTATCTGTATCTTTAAGGCCTTGAGAATTTTCAAATTTCCTATGTCTAGTGCATATATTTCAGTCTAATTATTTTAAAGAACATGTAACAAAAACCTCAAATTTATTTTGCCCCATCTTCTAGACAGAAAGATATACAAAAACATAGCATGTACCTTTTCTAAAGTATGAAACAAGTATTACTGAAAAATATTTATTAATTGGGATCTCTATTTTAGCACACACATATATGCATCTTTTGTGTTACTAAATAATACCACTGCTCTAATATTTTATATAGAAGGACTTTTTACTATCATGCAACAATTGTTCATGAAGTCTTTAATGGGGCATAGTATGATTTTGATCATGTACAACAGAGGAAAAAACTGAGGCACACAGATGCTAAAGTACTTGCCAAAGACTGGAGAAAAACTTAGAGGCAGAGCCCAGAACAGCTGAAACTCACTAATCACAGTCTACTGACAAATTAAATGCAAGTTCCCAATGTCAAAAAATCTAAATAAATATACATAAATACATACAAATAACTGAAAAAGCAAGGAAAATAATTAAGAAGGAATTTTCTACATAGCCTGAATTACATAGAGAAGTGTGGTTTCAAAATCAAAGCTGCTAAAGCAGGTTCTAGTGAGTTATGTACATTAGTTCAAAGGAACTTGAGAAAATACAGTGTATGCAATAAAAATTATTATTACTCATGAAGTTTAATTTTATAAGAGAATCTAATATACAAATGCAATCAACATAATGTATCTCTGATCAAGCACTTAAATATATCTTAAGTAAAGCTTTATTTAAAATGTCTTAAAGTTGAAAAATGCATGTATACAAAATATTTAAGATGCAACTAAATCATAAAAAGTGTGGACTTTTTCGGGGAATTTGCAAAAAGTAGCAATGTCAATTTCAACATAAAAGAGATGTTAGGGAAAATGGCAGATATTAGCTTATAAGATTACTTTTTTTAAACACATAAAATTCTTCATCTCAAGGGCAATAGTGTTTAAACTGAATGTGTATATATATATACATACATGTATGTACATATATAGGTATATATTTTACAGAAAGATCACATTATAACCATAAAACATTTTTACAGCATTGCTTTATACCCAGTTTATCTTGTACTCAAAAATACTACTATATACTATTTATAAAACATTTAATACCCTCTTCATTACCTCTTTAAAACCTTTGCAGAAAATTTATGATGTTATCTTCTTAACAAGGCAAAACCAAGGAAGAGGACTTTGTACATCCATCATTTCTAGAGTAACAAAAATATTTTTACCATCCAGAAGACTTTCACAAAATTCCAGACACTGGCATGTTGTAATAATGCAAGTAGGATTGAAAATTTTGTAAAAGAAACTAAGGGAATAAATGATAAGAAAAGCTAATATTACTCAAAAATCTTATCAAGATTAGAAAAAAGATGGTACCCATGTTAGCTTTTTTTTAAGACAACTAATATATGATGGGTTGGAAATGCCCTCTTTTTTTAAATTTAAAGTAGTTTTTGAAATGCAAATTTATTCATTTCCTAGGTTCTTTCTTTCAAATATATGACCCAAAAAATTGGTAAAAAGTTGTGGGTTCTATTGCAAAAAGGCCTGAAACAATCCAGTACATTAAAAAAATAAATAAGAGGGTAGATATTCATATAGGTTCAAATAATTAAGAGCAGGATCAACAACACTCTAACTCAAACTTTTAAACATTTCAAATTAATCACCCTCCATGACCTCCAGTGAATTTCCCCTGGACTGAATTTCTGTTTGTTCATTACATAAGATTTTTATGTTTCTTTTCTTTTGTTTTTATTATTTTGCACTCTGTTACGTTATGCTTATGCTACAGAATTTTTAACTTGAGCAAATTATATGGCAGTCAGAATTATTTATGTGTGTATTAATCTTGTAACTACTTTACTCTAAATTTAAATGAGCTTAACCTCCAGGAGAATTCCCAGGACATTCTATATTAACTACATCAAAAAACACTGGTCAAATATTATAGACTTTCTTAACATTGCTGAAGTATTATGTATTTCTTCAATGGAATTTTTATTTTCTTCTTATCTTCCTCAATGATAGCATAAGAAACTCATAAAATCTAAAACTACATTTTTGAGGAATTAAGAAAAATAAAAATTATATTTTTAATGACTTAAATGACATTATTTCAGAAGCAAATACTTACAATCCCAGAATACATTTCTTTCATCAGCATAAATTTATTCTTTGTGAAATGTCTAATTTATGTACCCTCAGAAAATTTAATAAGGTTTTATCAAAAGATAATTTTTGAAAGAAATCAGCAAGGATTCCCTTAACGTGTCGCTGTCCTTTGAAGGAGTAATGTCTCTTTTAAATGAGCTCTCTTTGCCTGCTTTCCAACCTACTTCCCCATCTCACCCAAGGCTTTTGAGCCATTCCTTTGTTTCAGCAAATGAGGCAAGTAGGTAAAATTGGCAATCTTGGGACCCTCAGGAACAGCCACTGTGAAGCCTCACCTAGGATTCCTGATTAGCAATATGTCTTATTAAAAAAAAAAAAGTACCAAAACAAAAGAAACAAAGAATAGAACAAAACAAAACAAAACAAAATCTATCTAGGCCATCTTTTCACCTTTCTTTATTTCATAAGAAAGAAGCATTTAACACATTCATTTTGATAAGCAATAAAGAAGTGCTGATGAAGCTCATGTCAATAAAAGGTATCTTTTATCACCATTGCCAATACACTTCAACTTATGTAACAGAGCTTAATAATTTCATTGTTTTCTGAGATAAAACATAATAATCTTAACACAAGGTATTTGAAGCAAATTATTTTTGTGGCCTCTAGATATGCAGTATTATCAGCTTCTCTTATCAAGAGAAAATTAATTCTCTTGTGTTCAAAATTCAAATTATTGCTCTTAATTACATCTAAATCCACAGTATAACCATGTGTGGCAGGCTAATAAGTGAATGAATCTGTTTCTGAACTACTGTTTTCTCTAAATAAGATTTTAACAAAGGTCCTATACTGTGATTTTTTTCCCACTGTATCTGTGATAAGAAAATGATGCAGATGGAGTTTTAATCCCCTAAAGAAAAGGTCTCAGCATCCAATTTACCTGACAAGATTTTCATTGTCTCCAGTTCCCTTGCAAGTTGCACATTCAGTTCTTAAATCCTCAGCCTTGGGCTTCTTTTGTAATACAGACTGCCTTTGTCTTCTTTCTCTAGGAACTCTTTCCTGCCATACAAAGTAGAACAAAATAAAACAAAAACACAATCAAGATATGAGGAAAATATAAATAATTTTAAGAAAGAAAGTTTTCCAGCCCAAGTTTAGACTGTGAAAAATGCTTAACTTATTCCAACCTCATGTTTCTCTTCCTCAGGAACGAAGCTTCGTTTTCGTCCTCTGGTTCTCTAAAAAAAAAAAAACACAAAAAAATATCTAATGTTTAATTCAGAGGAAAAATCAATTTCCTATATTACTGCTTAAGTTAACGTACTTGGGAAATCAGTATTTCTAACTAATGTTGTATTGCTCTATTTCATTTTGTTACAATTTATATCACAGGAAACAAGAACATGACAAATAAAAAAACATTTTTACACAGCCTTACTTTTAAATAAACAAGTATCTGATAAGAGAATTGTTCTCCCAAAATTATTTGAAGAATTTTTTAACACTTTGTATGTCACACAATTATGATTTACTCAGAGCATTTAAATTTTCTTATCACACATGATTTATACACCCAAAACACTAAATCTGGAGTCATACCACGTCTACTGTCTATTGTGTGCCCTTATGTGTAAGGTAAAGAAATAGTCCATTGATTAACAGTCATAACAAAGCAGGAGGAAAAAGTCTAAGATGTTCCCAAATCCTAGTTTAAAGAAAACTAATTATATCATGGTATAAAGTGGCTGAGTTTAAACTTATTTAGTTCATGTTAACAACCTGTATCTAAGAACACATTTACCTTTTGACAGACCACACCCAAAGGTTTAAAAATAATGTAAGTATAATAGTATTTGAAGTCAATATGTTAAAAATCTCTACCCACATAGCCCAGCCTCTACAGAATTATAGTCCCCATGTGCAGAACACTGCTGTTTTAGAGAGACTGCTGGAAAAGAAGGCATCATTCCCACAGATTACTTTGACTGTTGAGAGCAAG